AGAGAGGGAGGGGCTTTTCCCTTGTCCAAGCCACGCCGCTAAATCGCCTTGCCCAAACTACACGCTTTCAGCGGTAAAATCCACACGCTGCGGCGCCGTGTGCACCCGCGAGGCCGGCGGCGGAGGCTGGCCTGCGGCACTGAGGGCTGAGCCGGCCCCCCCAGAGCTCCCGCGGCGGGCTCGAGGGGAGACCGCAGCGCCAGGGCTCACCTCAGGGCCGTGCACGGGCTGCTGCGTTCACAGGGAGCTCGGGCTCCCAGCCCCGTGCCACCCAGGCCTCAGGTCTCTTCTCCCTGGGGAGCAGCAAACGTGGGTGCTCTCGCCTTTCAGACCAAGGGGCGCAGCCTCCCCAGGGTCCGGGATGCTGAGACTAAGCGCCCCGACTGCGCTCCAGGTCCGCTGGCCGAGAAGCGCTGCCCCTAGCGTGGCCCCCTACGCCCACACGGCCCCATCTCATGGCTCATGCCCAGCGCACCCCGGCGCCACCCTCCCCCACTCCCCGCTCCTCAAAACCACAGCCCCCACGTCAGCGTTGCCTCCTCAGTGGTCTCACTGTGCCTCCCCCCAACATGGGCGCGCCCCCCGCCCCCCGAACCGAAACCGTGTCCTGCAGAGTTCACGGGCCCTGGGGACGACGGCTGTTCCCCACACCACCGCAACCCCTCACCCCAGAGCTCAGCACCACAATCCCGGTCGGTGACCCTGCCGCGTCCGGCTCCCCAGTGCAGGTCCTGGCCCCAGGCCAGGCTCTACCTGGAGCTAACTGGTGCCCTGACGCTGAAGCCACTTCCCGCTTCCCCGCCCCCACTTCCAGGCGCCCTCACAGAACTCTCCTTCCGGCAGCCCAGACGGCCCTGCGTCGTCAGCAGGACCCCGCGCCAGCCCCTTGCTCCGGTGCTCACACAGTCTCGCCTCCGCCCCAAGGCTCCCCGCTCCCAGCGACTTTACCACAGACAAGGTTAAGAGAAACAGTCGGCGGCTGCCCCGACAGGCCTGCCCGTGGGGTCAGCCGCCCTCCTCCCGTCTCTGCTGTCCCTGCCATCAGAGACCCCTCCAGCACGGGGGCCTAGGGCGCCCCCTCTGCTCCCCTAGGGCTGACTCCCACCCATGGGTGCCCTCTCTCCAGCACCCCATTTCTGCGGGAGCACCTACCCGAGCCCCCCGCACGCCGTCTCGAAGGGGTGCCCGTGGGGTCCCTGCAGCTCTGGCTGCTGCTGGCCCCGCAGGCAGCCAGCTCCTGGAGCTGGCAGGTCGAGGCTGCAGAAACACCCCACTGGAATTCAGGCTCATGTTTCCTCACACACAGCCACGGCGCTGGGGGCGCATGGGGGACACCGGGACGTTCCACCGAGCGACCCGCCTGCATCTGCCACAGCCGCGACCCTACCGAGTTTTCCTACGTCTGGCTGGACTTCACGTTTCTGCCTGTGGTTTCCGGGTGACAGTGTGGGGCGGCCGCGGGAGGGGACCTCCAAGCGCCGGGAGGCCCCCACTGACAGGCACCTGCCCGCGGCCATGTCAAGGCCACTGCCTGCTGGGAGACCCTGGGTGGCTGTGGCTGCGGCACCAGCTGACGGGAGCTGGGCACACTGCTGGCCAGTCAGCCATGGCCTGCAGTGGGAGGTGCGGGGGTGCCGGCACACGGCGCCTCCCCTCTGCGGCGTGGGCCCCGGGCTGCCCTCTCCGGAAGCTGGGCTGTCGCCGGCAGCACCGCCGGGCTGCGTCATGCTGACGACGCGGCGGCCTGCTGTCGTGACGTTGCTTTTGCTCGCTGTTCCTGCTCCGCTGACCTCGTGCGTCCCGATCACTTCCTCTCCGCTCTTTGCTTGGGTTTCTGTCCCCCTGGGGGCTAAGATTTACTCTTAGGGGCATGACGGCAAGCACCCGACTTCCAAGTTCTCGGACAACGGTTTCACTGCAGGTTTCAGGCTCCTCGGTAACTGCACAACAGTGGAGTTACACGACCTGTGCTCGGGGCCTATTGGAATTCCCCGTGACCGGAGGACGTGTCCGTTTTATCCCCTCGGCGTGCTACAAAGGGGTACGCCACCTCTCGCTGTAGTGCCAGTTCGTCTGCTGGGCGATCACCCCCCCCCTCACCTCTAAACAGGCTCCCGGCCACACATGCCACTCCGGGCTGGCACAACAGCGAAGCTTATTCACGCACCCACTCGCTCCACCAGTCTCGCCAACGCCACCATACGAGTCCGAGGAAGGAGACACACTCCTGCCTTCAGCGGCCACAAGGTGTGGGTGAAGCCCAGTGCTCGGGCCGGCACACGGGGCCGGGCCCACTTCACGTGTACACGGCCGGCACAGCAAGCGTGACAGCGGCGCCTGGAGGTCCCGCGCAACGGGCACCAGACCGTGCCAGCGAGAGGCACCTGGCCCGGCACACACGCTGCCGACCCAGCCCGATCCACCCCTGCACGCAGTGGCTGGCAGGGCCCCCCCGGGCCTCCCGGACGTACTCACG